AACAAAATTGACAAACCCTTAGCCAACCTTATCAGAAAAAGGAAAGAAAAAGCCCAAATCCATGCAATTAGGAATGACAAGGATGAAATTACAATGGACCCAGCAGAAATCCAGAGGATAATCAGTACCTACTTCCAGAACCTTTATGCCAATAAGATGGAAAACACAGAAGAAATGGAAAGATACCTAGATACGTATGAATTACCCAAGTTCAATGAAGAAGACCTAAAAATTCTGAACGACCCAATATCAATGAATGAAATTGAAAACATTATTAAAAACTTGCCAACTAAGAAAAGCCCAAGTCCTGATGGTTTCACTGCCAAATTCTACAAGACATTTAGAGAGGAACTATTGCCATTACTCTTTAAACTCTTCGATGAAATTGAAAGGGAAGCAATACTCCTGAATTCAATCCTGGAAGCAAGCATCACCTTGATCCCCAAAGAGGAGGAAGACCAACTGAAAAGGAGAACTATAGACCAATCTCACTAATGAACATAGATGCAAAAATCCTCAGTAAGATACTGGCAAATAGAATGCAGAAGATCACCAAGAAGATCATACACCCTGACCAAGTGGGTTTCATTCCAGGCATGCAGGGATGGTTCAACATATTCAAATCAATCAATGTAATACACTGTATTGATAGAGCCAAGGACAAAAAACATATGATTATCTCAAAAGATGCAGAAAAAGCATTCAACAAAATCCAACATATATTCATGATAAAAACCCTACAGAAAATTCTCATAGACATTCTTTATCTCAACCTGATAAAAGCCATCTATGAAAAACCAACAGCCAACATCATACTAAATGGTCAAAAACTGAAATCCTTAACATGAAAATCAGGAACAAGACAAGGATGTCCACTATCACCTCTCCTGTTCAATATAGTTTTTGAAACGTTAGCCACAGAAATTAGACAAGAGAAAGAAATAGAAGGAATAAAGACAGAAAATGAAGAAGTCAAATTGTGATTATTTGCAGATGACATGATACTCTATATAGAAGACCCCTAGAATGCCATGAAAAGTCTTCCAGACTTAATAACCAAATCAATAAAGTAGCTGGATACAAGGTCAACACACAAAAATCAATAGCTTTCCTCTACAGGAACAAAAGACTCACTGAGGCAGAAATAGGGCAAACAATTCCTTTCACAATAGCATCCAAGAAACTGAAATACCTAGGAATCAACCTAACAAAAAAAATCAAAGACAGCTTCTCTGAAAACTATAGCATGCTGAAAAGAGAGATTGAAGATGATATCAGAAAATGGAAAGACATCCC